AAGGCAGACGATGAACAATAAGATTGAAGATTTGGAGAATGACATCACTTCACTTTGCAACACTATAAGAATTGCTGAACAGGAGATGAGATCTCAGGATATACCATTCCTCAAGGTGAACATTCGTAAAGGAATGACTTAAAACACAAATTACAATTCGCATGTTGCACTTTTAGTAATCTGATTCTATTTTTATTTAACCTAGAATTATAAAGACACCATAAAGAGGTACTCACCCCCGCCCCCAATCTAAAGAAGTATAATTTGCTCTGTGACCTAGTCCCAGAATAATTCTGTATTCTTTGCTGTATTGACAGAACCTGGCGTATTCCCCAGGATCCAGAGATGATAACTGGTTCACTGCTTGATGTAGTCAAACATCTAGGCTCATTAAAGTTTAAAGTCTGGGAAAGAATGATGGAAATCATTCAATATAGTGAGTATATTCAGGATCAAACTACCAAGTAATTTCCACATTTTTACATTTATTTATTTGCCAGTTTTAAACCTCTATCAAGCAATGTCTGGATCAAATGTAACCAAAAAGATAAAAAGACAATTATTTTGTATTTTTACCAAGACTAAACATTCAAAATTGCCAGTAACCTATTATAATGTGAAAAATCTCATTCACATTACTGTAATAAAAATACTAAAATAAATACATTCATAAAAGTATGGTTACATTTTATTTACGGTGCCCTTGTTACAAAGTAATTATACATTTGTGAGTACTGAGTAAAATGAATTAACTACATGTATTTACTTTATGGTTGGGTTTAGGATGAGGGTTTGGTTTAAGGTTGTGTGTAATTATGCATAATTTATTGTTATTAATATAGTAAGTACTGTACATGTAACAAGCACACTGTAAAATAAAGTGTTACCAAAGGTAGACAAACTGTAAAGTATGTTTTCATGGTAGTAATATGTATTGAATTTAATTCAGTTTTTTTCATTAAATTAAAAAAATGCACCACAGTAATGAGAATTTGAGGCGGAAAGTGGTTTTATTGTCATAAAAATGATGTCAGTAATGTCATAATGCAAAAATATCTATTATTTGAAGAAAGAATCTTACTTTTCTTTATGTAAAAATATAATTTATGTATGTATGTGTTTTGGTTGAAAATCTCCAGGTCTGCGTTTCCCAAAAGCATCGTAAGCCTAAGATGATCATAGCTCCATTGGTTTCAATGGGTCTACGATGCACTTAAGCTTACAATGCTTTTGTGAAATGCAGACCTGGAGATTTTCTCACGATATTCACACTTAAAGCAACTGCATGTAGTTTTGTGTACTTTTTGCGACTTTGGAGCCCCTGCAGTTAAGTGAGTGGAATTCATTGAGGCAAATAACAGTGGATAGTGTTTGCAATTACAGTGGATAACCGTTCACGTGCCGTAAAGCAATCTGCCCTTCTCTTGGAACCCGCTCACCAAACTTCCATGCTCTGTTCTGGGAGTATGTAAAAAACAGAAACCATTCACCTTATTAGAAGTCATTGCACCAATAAAATGATTTTGAAACTTGACATTTTAAGGTAAAAAACAAACAAACAAAACGTACACACAGTTGCTTTAAAGAGACCATTAAAGAGAAACATTAGCATTTTAATGAGCCTTTCAAACTATTCCTTTGCTGCAGCTCCAGTGACTCTTGATCCAAACACTGCGGCAAGCTGCTTCCTCCTGTCAGAGGATCTGACTACAATACAGTGCTGCTCTCAGACCTTTAAACTCCCAGAAAACCCTGAGCGCTTCGATATAGGTGCAGAGGTGCTGGGCTACGAGGGCTTCAGCTCTGGGCGACACAGCTGGGACGTGGAGGTCAAAAACAACACCTACTGGGTCACTGGAGTTGCAAGCGCATCCATCAGCCGGAAGGGAAAGCACGTGTTGACCCCTGCAGAGGGATTCTGGACCATTAGGCTACGAAACGGAGAGTATAAAGCCTGTACTGCCCCATGGTCCCCTCTCACTATGACTAAGGAGCCGCAGGTGGTGAGGATCGTATTGGACATGAACAGGTCCAGGGTGACTTTCTACGACCCACGGGAGAGAACGCCTCTGTTCACCTTCACGGACATCATCACTCCGAGAGCATTCCCATACTTCTGCAGCGCCTGTAAGGAGCACCCACTGAAAGTGTTGCCAGCGTGGATCTCTATTAAGACAGACTGATGTGAAGAACGTCCCTCTCAGCATTTCTTTCCTCAAGTCTCACCTCTCATGTTAAGCCCAGCTCACACTGTGCGAATTTGGCCACGATTTGGTCGTCTGAGACAAATTTTAGAAATCCTAAAAGATTCCTATACTCCTAGGCTAAAATCTGTAGTCTTTGATCGCTGGTTTGACACGTTCACCGACAGCCGATTAATGGCCGTTGAGATCAAATTTTACCTCCGACGAACTTCTGGCAGTGTCAGAAGATTTGGGGCACAGTGTGACTTCTCCTACGACGAACATCAAACTGTCTTTGTTTTTCAAGACAAGCCATGATCATAATTAATGCTAGAGATTTCTTATAACTGCATATGTATGACGCATACATATAACTAGAGCCCGACCGATATATCGTTTTGCCTATATTATCGGCCGATATGAGCCTGTCGCCGATATATCGAATATGCCGCCGATATGAAATTTTTTTTTACAGAACATATAATGCAGATAAAATGCTTGAAATGGTGTAATTACTTAGTTTGTCCAGCAGAGCGCGCCCCATTGTTTGCTACTGGCGACCTGGATGAAACGCTTTAAAGCCTAAGTCTATGGAAAACCATTGAAACTTTGAACGGCCATATCTACATAACGGCGCGGCGAATCCGCACCAAATTCGGGGTATCTCTTCAGCTCGAGGAACCCTCTTGAACGCTAACTGAGTGTACGTCTCGAGGCCCGCTTTCGAATGAGACCACCCCCGCGTCGATAGCCCCCGGGGTTCGGGAGTTACGGGTGGTTAAATTCGCGGTCCGGCGCCGCTATAATATACACAAAGAATATCGGCCGATATATCGGTATCGGCCGTTTTTTTTATTCCCTAATATCGGTATCGGCCCCAAAAAACCCATATCGGTCGGGCTCTACATATAACTGCATGAAACAAAATTCATACGATATGTTGCCTTTGCTATGATAAACACCGGTTGTGCCGCTGTTTTCATTTGGGTGTGTAGTGCTGCTTACACTATTCTTCTTAAAGGGATAGTTCACCCAAAAATGAAAATTCTGTCATTAATTACTCACCCTCATGTCGTTCCAAACCTGTAAGGCCTTCGTTCATCTTCGGAGCACAAATTAAGACATTTTTGATGCATTCCGAGAGCTCTCTGACCCTCCCATAGACAGCAAGGATCCTAACACGATCAAGGCTCAGAAACATAGCAAGGAGATCGTTAAAATAATCCATGTGACATCAGTGACATCAGTTCAACCGTAATTTTACAAAGCTACGAGAATACTTTTTGTGCGCAAAGAAAACAAAAATAACGACTTTATTTAACACGTCGTCTCCTCTACATCACCCTATAGCGCCATTTTGGAGAGTATCACATACGTAAACAACGTATGCAAAGTATGTACGTGGATAAGTTGTTTACGTTCAGACCAAAGCGTAAACAACGTATCCACGTATGGTGCTGCTGACACAGAACAACATACGTTGTTTACGTATGTGATACTCTCCAAAATGCCGCTAGAGGCTGACACTGAGGGAACGAATTGTTAAAGTCGTTATTTTTGTTTTCTTTGCGCACAAAAAGTATTCTCGTAGCTTTGTAAAATTACGGTTGAACCAATGATGTCACATGACGCCGCTATTGCTGCCATTCATATATTTTTCATGATAGCCAACATTTCAGCCTTGAGTGTAATGCAGCTCGCGTTCTTGCACGCATCCGTTTTTAATGCGTCTTGACTGTCGTACAGTCTGACATTAATGACAACTGAGATCCCACAGTGTGATCATCATGTTCGTACAGTCTGATAAGTAACAATCGTGAAGGACTATTAAAAAAATCGCACAGTGTGCACCCGGCTTTACACGGCCATTACAAGAATTACATTATTTAAATTTGAATATTTTTGCATTTATTTTTAACAATTATTATATATTTTAAAATATGACCTATGCACAATTTTTGTGAGATTCAAGAAAAAGTAAACATCAATACAAGGACATTAAAATCAGAAATAAGGAGTGTAGTGAAAATTATTAAATATTAAATATTTAACAAAAATTAAATGTCAGGTTCAGGAAAATAAAATTGGAAAAGAGTGTAGTGAAAATCTGAAATTGTGACAGCCCTAATAAGAATTACTTTATTTATTTATTTAGTAATTATATAATTTATTTAAATATGACCCATACATTTAACAATAGTGTAATGTTTATGTCAGGACAATAGAATCAGAAAGGAGGAGTCTGCAGTAGAAATTATTATTTATTCTTTTAACCATTCAGAAGTCTGCAGTAAATTAATGCGATTACACTGTTTTAGTTTACAAAACGTCTTTGTTCCCATGTCAGTGTGAGGCATTTCATCTTGTCATATCACACTTGAGTAAAGCTCGAGGAGGTAAAATCTAAGGCACTTTGTTGTGGCTCTTTACAATGATATGCTGTATCTTTCAGCTTTCTAAAAGTCACTTTGGAGTTAGGCATTTTAACAACAGTTATGTAGTAAAAATCTTAAGTCTGTTAACATACACTCATTATTATCTTTTCAGGCTCCAAAAGTATTGTAATGGTTTAAGTCTATAGCAGGGGTGGCAAACTCCGGTCCTGGATTGTTCAGCTCCAACCCTAATAAAACTCACCTGCCTGTAGCTTCCTAGTAACCCTTCAGACCTTGATTAGCTTGTTCAGGTGTGTTTGATCAGGGCTAAGCCAAAACTATGCAGGGCTGCGGCTCTCCAGGACCGACGTTCGCCACCCCCGGTCTATAGTGTCAAAACCAGACAGTGGAGTTTCATCTTTCATCCTGTTGGCTTAAGTGGTTGTGTTTTTTTGAACTGGTTAAATTGGGAGTGCACATATTGCATTTTGTCACCTGTACGCTACCATCAAATCAGAATAACAAATTAAAATAATTCTCTCTCACGGTCTCATCTATTGCATATCATATATTCCGCTTGTCATTGTGAAGACAGCTTGCTACCAAATTGAAGAAACCCATTCAAAAGCATGTAAATGTAAAAACTGTCTAAATACTAGCAGAACAAATCTGAGTGGGTTCTGTTGCATCGTGGTAACACTGGGTGCGGTCACAGGTTAGAAGACCAGGTAGGTTCAGACTACCTTCTCTTATTTGTCTCAAAGGGATATCCTGCCTTCTTCAAAAGCATTGTACAGCTCCTCGGTCACAAGCTCGTAACGGCCTGCTCTGGAGTTCAGAAAGTAGATCTGGTCAGTTGTGAGCCGTGGATCGTATCCTTCCCTTTGCAATCTGGTCTTTTGAATTTTAAATGTTCCTGTGAATAGTTAAGAGTAGGAAATCAGCTCGCAGCATGCATATTCATATTTTAGAAAAGGATGATTTTATTTTTTTAGATTAAGCATCATTTTAAACAAACAGCCATTGTAGCCAGGTAGACAAAAAAGAAATTCAAGACCTAATCTAGCTCTAATAAAGATTATAAAACCCTAATCTAACCCTAGTAAACATGATAATATTTAGGTTTTATTTAAAAAAAAAAAATAGGAAATATATTTTATTTAAATAATATGACCTATACATTTCTTTGTGAGATTCAACAAAAATTAAATGCCCATGGCAGGACAGAAAAAATGAGGAATGCAGTGAAAATCTGATATTGTGACAGCCCTAATAATTATAATATTCAATTTAATTTCAAAAATGAGTAAATATATTTAAATTTGACCCATACATTTATGTTTTAGATTTAACAAAAACTAAATGTCAAAAATTAGAAATGAGTGTAGTAAAAATCTGATATTGTGACAGCCCTAATAAAAATATATATATATAAAAACATTTTTTTGAATAATTATATATTTTATTTAAATATGACCAATACCGTGACCATACTCATTTAAAAAGTACAGTATAAATCTAGTTTAAATAATCAACATAATCCACAATGATATTTAGTAATTTCTTTAAATTTTACCTATGGTAATATGTAGTTATTAAGAGAAACATTTACATTTTTTGAGAAATATTATGCAGAGATTTCTGCGAATATTTTTAAATGATGAGAAATCGATTCTTTGAAACAGACTGAAGAAAGCAAACATCATCTCTGTCTAAATGCTCTCATATTTACAATTTGTGAGACAAGTTTTCTAAATGAATTGGTTTGAAAGCTTAATAGCTCAATAAAAGCACATTAATCATTGTGACATTCACATTTTATATCGCTAGCAAAACTACAGTACAGTGCATATATGGCATAATACTTAATATATCATCGATTCCAGGCTGTATAGCATCTGGAGATCTTTCCTCACCTGTGGTATCTACACATGGGGAGATGCGTAGAAATATTGGCCGTGCATAAGGAGGAAGAGCTTGCTGAACCTCTTTCAGGAAAGAATTACAGTTGAAGTTTCCTGTTGAGTCAGCAATGGCAGCCATTCCAGCCTTTCCCTCCACACCTATACAAACACACACACACTGTATATGAGGATATCTGACGTATACATTACAGGAATTATGGGTCCTGTGAACTTTAGGACAAAATTGGCTTTATCTGTCTCACCTGGTACATTTACTCCAAACACTGCTACATCAGTTTGTCCCAACAGGCTGCTCAGTGTTCCCTCCACTTCAGTAGTGGACACGTTCTCACCTTTCCAACGAAACGTGTCACCACTCCGGTCCCGGAAGTACATGTATCCAAGCTCGTCCATAACTAAAACATCACCTAAGAGACACCATACCAACAAACTAAGTTTATTGCGTAGTGCAACAGCCAATTTCATAAGTTTAAAATGTGCTGTACCAGAAAACCTTGAGGGTGTTGAAGAAAAATAACAATATCTCTTGACTAAGAAGAACATAAAAAGTAGACTTCAATATGCTATAAGAATTTGGATAGACCTGTGGTGTTCTGGAAGAATGTTTTATGGATTGATATGACAAACTGGAACTTTTTGGACCCATCAGCGGTATGTCAAGGTGCAAAAAAGGCAAAGCTTATGAGCGGATGAACACAATCCTCACGATCATACATGGAGGTCGACTAGTCTTTTTATGGGGTTGCTTTGCTGTTGCAGAAGTGGAAATCTTGACTGTATGAAGGACATCATGGATTCTTGGAAGTATCAAGCCATTTTGGCAAAAATTAAGATGCTTTTGACTGAAGCTTGATGATAACTGGACTTCCAGCAGGGCAATCACCCCAAACTATACATCCAAATCCACTGGAGCTTCGTTCAAGGATCAGTCATAGAATGTTCACAAATGATGCATCAATGCAACACATATTCACACACGTTTTTTTAGAATTCAGAGTTTTATATATTATTTAAAAAAAAAACTAAAGTGTATTTTTTTTGTTGCTGAAACCCCAGTTGGCATACAGGATTTGCCGTTTTCAAAGACATCAATTATATGTTCATGTTACATTTCGGTTGCATTTGTAAATGAATAAAAAATAATATCTTAATATCGATCGCAGGCCACAAATTTTATTGTGGCATGTTTTGAGGTATCTGTAAGTACTGTTTAATAAAATACTGAGAATCGTCATGATCAGAATGTCACATCCTATTAGCATATACAGTTGTGCTCAAAAGTTTACATACCCCTTGCAGAATGTGCAAAATGTTAATAATTGAAACAAAATAAGAGGAATCATGAAAATTACATGTTATTTTTTATTTAGTACTGTCCTGAATAAGCTATTTCACATAACAGAGGTTTACACATACTCCACAAGACAAAATAATAACTGAATTTATAAAAATGACCCCATTGAATCTTAATAGTGTGTGTCATTTCCTGGATGATCCACGACTGTTTTTATTCAGTGTAAACTTTTTAAATTGGATGATCAGGGTAAATTGTACTTATTTTGTCTTCTGGGAAACGGGTACGTATTTATGTAGCTTCTGAAGTCCAGTACTAAATGAAAAAATATGATATCATATGTATGTATAAATGTATAGGTACTAAATGTATAAATACTAAATGTAGGTACTAAATGTATAAATATGATCAAAAATATCATCCTGTTCAAAAGTTTACATCCCCCGGCTCTTAATGCATTGTGCTGCCTTCTTGAGCATCAATAATTGTTTCCACCTTTTGTAATAGTTATGCACGAGTCCCTCAATTGTCTTCAGTGTTAAAAGTTGGATCTCAAAATCATACAGTCACTTTTGGAAAGGGTTCAAATATGCTAAAGATGCTGGCACAGCAGTAACTTTCACACTGTTAGAAACTTCTAGACACTGGCACTTCTTTGCAGTGTTACAGGTGCACCTGACAGATATGCAGAGTCGTTTTTCTTGAATACATTGTAGGCGATCTTCTTCCTGGTGGCATCCTGACTAGCGTACCCATCAAACCGACGCAGAGGATCCTCCTGATTAATTCTCCCCACCAACAGCCCAGGCTCTCCTGTGAGTGGAAGTCAATACACGAAGAGAAAAACCTATGATAAGAGCAAATCTGAGGGAGCAAAATGACTGTTGATTATTTTGTACATTTTTCTAGTCTGATGCAGTCAAATAATAACCCTTTTAACTTGATAAGTGTGCTTACTGTTTTTTTTTTTTAACAAATGAAAATAAATGCCATTTGGAAAAAATTAAATGGCATTTAATTTGACATTTTATGTAACGCAATGACATTATATAATCATTTTTCACATATTTATTTGTTTTTTTTTTGGTGCAAAAAACTTTATTAACATTATAAGAAAACCTCAAGGAACATATTAAAATAATTTAAAAAAAATCCATGTCATGACCCATTTGAAGTGTCCAAATATGTTTTGAGCCCACCGTATATCAGACTTCTATTACAAAGATTAGATCTAAAATGATGTGAAACCTATTTCATTAACTTATATTTGGGAAACATATAAATCAAAGAGTACTTGGCTGTGAACGCACCAGGTCGGCAAGTCACACACAGTCCCTGCTTGTCCCGAACCAGTTCCATGGTTTCCTCATTCACTTTCAGCAGTCGGATGGGGTACACATTTGGCAGAATGCGACTGTTAAAACCACAAGCTCCAACCTGCAGCGTTCAGAGTGAGTTTTTACTATTCAGTTACCTGTTACAACTGATAATTGCATATTCAACGTTCTAAGAACAACACTGATACTTGACCTTGCCATCCATATTGGCAATGCTGCAGTTGCACTCGGTGGCTCCATAGAACTCGCCGATCTGTTTTACTCCGAAACGCTCCATAAAAGCCTCCCACACACTCGGCCGCAGCCCATTTCCCACGGCTAAACGCACACGGTGCTGTCGCTCAGAGGGGCGCACAGGCTGAGACAGCAAGTAACGGCAAATCTCGCCTATGTACTGCACAACCTGCAAGAAAGGGAGAAAAAAAATGGATGTATTATTTAAAAGAACATTAAAAATGCAATTCATTCAAACAATGACTTGTTTTTTCTTATGTTTTCTACTCTATATTACAATACATTTTGATATTTTTTAGGGCATTATATAAAATCATAAAATCTCACTTTCCACAACCTTCACCCTCTCTGTTCCTCTCTGGTGGCATAAGCTACCAACCTCCATCCGAACTGCTGACACCATCACATTTTTAAAAAAGCAGCTGAAGACATACCTCTTCCACAAGCCCTTAACCACTCCAACCTTAAACCAATGAACTTACACACACACACATACACACACAAATTCTCCTCTTCTTTAGCTTGCTTCCTAATCTAGTTGTCAAATAAACCTGGCATTGAACATTCCGAGTACTGTTAGCTCCTTGACAGATTGCTTTTGGATAAAAGTATCTGCTAAATGCATAAATAACCAACATGCAGGATGCTATTCTGTCATCATGTGACAAGATAACATACAAACTGAACTGGTTGCAAAGAGAGGACCCTTGGAGACCCTTAAAGTCAGTACAGCTTTTAAAAATATCATATAGGCTAAATACCATTTTATTTTAGGTTAGTTCAGTTTCAAATGGTATAAACCCAAGGGAAAGATGATTTTTTTTTTTTATTCAAAGCAACGTACACTCAAAAGGTGTGTACACTCAGATGTATTTAATGTGTAAAGAAAATGTGACCCTGGAGCACAAAAGCAGTCATAAGTAGCACAGGTATATTTGTAGCAATAGCCAACAATACATTGTTTTGTTCAAAATTACCGATTTTTCTTTTATGCCAAAAATCATTAGGATATTAAGTAAAGATCATGTTCCATGAAGATATTTAGTAAATTTCCTACTGTAAATATATCAAAACTTAATTTTGTAATATGCATTGCTAAGAACTTCGTTTGGATAACTTTAAAGACATTTTTCTATATTTAGATTCAGATTCCAGATTTTCATATAGTTGTATCTCGGCCAAATATTGTACTATCCTAACAAACCATACATCAATGGAAAGCTTAGTTATTCAGCTGTCAGATGATGTATAAATCTCAATTTTGAAAAATTGACTCTTATGACTGGTTTTGTGGTACTGGGCCACAAATATGAATTTCTCATTTCTCAAATCTTTGTTGGAAATGGTATAAAGATTTTTTTAAAACTATATGTAAATAGTGAAAATGTTACAAACTGTTTAAAATGATCATATTCATAATCTTGGGCATTCTTATGTGTCATTAATAACCATAATAAAAGTGACTTACAGTGCAGTTATGTTTGATGCAATCTTCCCAGAAGCGACTTGCAGAGAACTTCTTCTTGACCACCACAGTTATACCGTGAATCAGACACTGGCCCACCCCCATAATATTACCTGTAAAAGAGTAAATTCAACAGACGCACAGCATGTGTTGAGCTGTTTGTACAATCTGCAACAGTTTGTTTGAAACCAACAACCTCTAACAGCTTATGACATTCATCGAAAGACAAGGAGCCTATAATGTCAGCAGCTGATCAGAAGCAACATGTCTGTCAGATGTACAATATACCTGCTGAATGGTAGAGGGGTAAACAGTCATAGATGATGTCATCTGGCCGCATTCGAAAAGAATGGTACCCAAAAGCAGCAATCCTGTAATATCTTGGAAATAGAAGCAGTTTATGAAAACTCGTTTCAAAAATGGGCCTAAAAGTATTTCTCTCTGAGATTTATGAATGTGATGTGGCTGCGAGCAGGTTACCGACTGTGCACCACTATGGCAGCTTTAGGGAGTCCTGTGGTGCCAGAAGTGTAGATATAGAACAAACGATCTGTGACATAAAGGAGGAAAAAAATGGATAAAAATGAATAAATGCAGATGTAATGTAAATATAAAACAGTGATGAGACATGGGTGATGCTTAGACTACTAGTTTACTGCTAACAGTCTAGTGCGCAGGATATACAGTTTACTATATGTTTAAAAACGTAAACATAAATGATGAACATCTCATAATATATTTGCTTAATTCAGTAAGTTCCATCGTTTTATAATCACAGAATTAAATGTATCAACATGTCTTAACTATTAGCAGTCTGGTTAAATAATATTGACTTATTACCTAATTTACTTATTATAAAAGCAATAGTACATTATCTTTTGCTGTAGAATCAGAAATTTGATTGACAATTGTGGAATTTCACTGCTATTAGTATCAACTACTGAAATGTTGGTACTGTAACATACCATGCATATTGATATTGAATTTTGCACTGGCTATGCTGAATATAGTGCAATTATGCTATTTCAAGATTTTTAAATTCTGAAACATTCTAAATTATTCTATTCTGAGATTTTTACATTCTGAAACATTCTAAATTATTCTATTCTGAGATTTTTAAATTCGGAAACATTCTAAAATTATGCTACAGTAGTCAACGTTCGAAGTGAATCAAAACCTTTCATCAAAGTTGTCCTAAAACCAAAACAATACCTGTTTTTGTCTTAGGACAACTTTGATGAACTTTTTCGATCCACTTCAAATGCTGACTACTGTATTCTGACATTCAGATATTTCTTTCTCTGTATTTTCTGTCTGACTCTTGCCTTTCTCACGCAGACACTTGTCTTCAATTCAAAGAGCTCTTGAAAGAATTGAGGACTACTTCAGACGAGTGGATACATTTATTTGAGGTAATAGATCTCTGTGACTTGCAAATTAAAAATCTAATTAATATGCTACTCAAACTTGTGACTGATTCGGGCTTTTACGCAAAGAAACCAATACCTCTGCCAGCAGCACATTCTGAAGTGGTCTTATAACGACTTGTGTAATAGGTAATCCACCATATTTTGTAATAAATAGAGGGCAAATGCAGTCTTGGAGAACTGGAATACTTTCTTATTGGAAGGGAGGACATCAAAAATATACTTTACATACTAATAACCGACAATAAACACAACTAGCCACCAGGATAAGCAGACAAATTTTTTTTTTTTTTTTTATACTAATTGTCTAGAAGTTTCTAACTTACCTCCATAAAAACTTTAATAATGGCCCACGACAGAAATTTTGCTACAAAACTGCAGCAGCAGAGAATGTAAAAGCACAAGACATGAAATAAATGTAACACTCCAGTGCGCTGATAGTCAAAGTAATGTGCACATAAAGACGATAATAATGCCACCTGATCCATTCATCAGACGGTTCATTTGAATGAACCTCTACAGTAGGAGTGTCAAACTCATTTTAAAAGGGGAATAACTTGGTGTTCTTGTAGGATAAAAAGATGTGGGTTTACATGCAACAGAAAAAATTAACAGTTTATCTGTCCTTCTGTAGCTAAAAAAAATAATATTTTGAATACATCATACCCATTTACAGGGGCCATGAATTGTTTTTATTTTTGTTTATTATTATTTTATAATATTCCCTGAGGTCTACTTATAATATTGGCACATCAAATGCAGTCATAATTGAAAAAAAAAAAGCCTTTTTACCCTGTTTTTGACCCTCTGGTTTGAACACAATGCAATGTAAATATGAGATTACTTTTGCAGACGGTTTCAATGATTATAACAGGAGTTCTGGTGAGAGCAGAACTCACACTGAACTGAAGTGATTGACAGCTCCAGTCAATATCAGCTATTGTTCTTATTTTAACAGCACTGACATACATTATATATTTTTTGTTAATATTTTGAACTAGATTTTAATTTGACATTTTCTGTTTGCGTTTTCATTTTAGTTCAAATATTAGTAACTTTGTTGCGTTTTGTCATTTTTATTAGTTGTTTTTAAATATGCCTATATGTTTTTTTTTATTAAGTTTTAGTTATTTTAGTACTTGTGAATTTGACTTTAGTACAATGTAAATATGAATATTCAGTTAATGGCTTGATTTTGCATGATGAATAAACCAAAATTCATTTATTTTACTTATCAATACCTTACATATCAAAACTATTTATCACTGGCCAGGCTTTAGAATTAACATGCTTACTTATGTGTTGCAGCATTACAGTCCTGTCCATTTTTTTCAATAAAAGTGCGTTTTTAAAGCTTGCGTTCAAAGCATGCAAAGACAATGTTCTTCCACACTTAAACACTGTGCAACATTTGGAAAATCTATATCTAAATCTATATTTATTCCAAGTGACCCTGTCGTGATCCAAACATGTCTTCTGTGTCTGTGCAGGCAGTCTTGTCCTGATGTATTCATCTCTACTACATAATTAAATCCTTGTAGTAGAAAATGAGTCAGCTTGGTTTCAATAAAAGCTGTTTTTGGACTAACAAGGAAGTTTTGAGTTACTTGCTATATGTTTTTGAGGAAAACTTGATTTATCAATTCATGACCCTTTTAATAAATGAAACATATTTTTTCCTAAAATCATTCCAGACTCCTCCACAAGCCATATCCGATCCATTACCCATGTGTTCGACAACTACAGCCAAAACCTCGTAATGCTGTAAAACTCACCGTTGAAGCCCTTGGACACGGCACAGGGTGGTGGGTTTCGAGGGGCAGATGCCAGAATGGAGTCAAGGGGGTGACATTTCAGAGTGGCCATCTGGTCTGGTCTGAGGTCTCCCGTGCTGAACCACACCATGCTCTCACTCAAAGAGGAGCTCACTTCAGACACAGCTACATAAACACAGGGAGGCACGTGCAATTAATTAGTTGCATGATCCAGGTAAAAGTTAGAGAGAAGGTCGTAGGCTCACCGTCTACTAGCTCTGCTCCGAAAACCAGCGCTCGGGATGCTGACACCCCCATGCAGTGCAGGAGCGAATCCCGTCGGAGGTTAAAGTTGATGAGCGCGGCTTCTACGCCTACTTTGGCCAGGCCCAGCCAGAGCGCCACTTGGAGCGGCCGGCTCTCCATGAATAGCGCCACCACATCTCCTGCGGTCCAGCCCTGGCTCAGGGCCCAGTGGGCCACAGCATTGGAGATCTGATCTAACTGGGAGAAAGTCCACGTTTCCCCAGTGGCTTCATACACAAGCGCAGGCTTGTCTGGGTGCCGAACCACGGTTTGTGCAAAGATGGAGGGTATGGTGTTTCGGTTTCGAATATGATGCCATAGTGCCAGTTTAACCCTCAGCAGCACGTAAAGACCGCTGATGGACAAGAGGAGGAGAAATCGGTTATTCAAGCCTGCTGAAAATAATACAGTGAAGCATTAGTCATTTAAGTTGCTATACACTTGACTTGTATAATATTCACATCTTTCATAGCTCTCATCTGAAGTCACCATTAATAAATGTCATTAAAGATTCTGTCACATTTTGGCAAATTTTTGCAGCCGAAATCCAGTCATTTCAATAGGAATCCACACGACTGAGAATTTTGTGTGAGGATGAAAGATTTCCCCATGCTTATTTCACAACAGGTTCAACAGGATTATGTTAATGTAAACACACACTGACAGCAGTTCTTTGGTTTCATCACCAAATTTGCACTGATTTGCCAACATCTTAAAGTTGGCACAAAACAGACATCACAACAGGAAGAGAAAATTATTATGCATGGATGTTATGCATTAAAAAAATGCATGGATGAACTGTTTACAACAAGACCAGTGACATGCATTAAAAAAATGGATAGGGTCTATTTTGATTGCATGCCGATGTTTAATTTAAAAGTTTCATGGAAAAAAACGGTTACATACAGGTTTGGTAGATGATGAGTAAATTATGATAGCATTCTTTTTTTTTTTTTTATAAATGTTTCCTTAAAGTTGGAATGAAATAGAAGTAGCAAGTCTACCAACAGATATTTTCTTCCATATTGTGACACACATCCAAGTAAAATGGGTTATTTTATTTTATTTTTTATTCATCGGTTTCTGAGGCAGATTTGAATGCGAGAATGCGAGTTGATTGTAAGTAAGGGTTGTTGTTTAAGTGGACAAATTATTGTTGAAGTCCTACATGAGTCCCCAGAGAGAAGTCTCTCATTTCACAAGAAGATGAAGAAATTTTGTTCAGTACATAGGCCAAAAGAAAAAGAAAAAGAAACACGCAGATGAATTGATCACAATGCATTCAGAAAATAGATAGGGTACATTTCCATTTCATGCCGACCTTAAAATAACTTCTGCTAAAAAACAAACAACAACAAAAAACAGCTAAAACCAGCATATGCTAGTTGTCTGGTCTTTGCTGGTTTAAGCTGGTCTGCCAGCCTGGCCAAGCTGGGTTTTGCTGATAGCGGTCTCCCAGCCTGACCAGCTAAAGAAGTGGCTAAAACCAGCCTGCAAACCATTTCTGACCACGCTGGAAGACCAGATAAAACCAGGCAACCAGCTTAGGTTGTTTTTTTTTTCCCAGCAGGGCAGAATTTGTAGTTGATGTGACATCCAAAATATCAGCCACTCACTTGATGTCCCTTTTAGCCGTACGAACCACCACATACAGGTACCGCCAGCCTCCTGTTCCTAAGTAAACACCCAAACCTGCTGCGAGGCTCCAGGACCAGGATGCCCCAAACAGACGGAGCAGGCCCAGGGAACCCAAGGACATGGAGCCACTCGCCACATAGTGCATCCTGAAACAGGTCCATGCTGTACATCACTTTTCAGTCACAAACACAGCAGGTCTCCACTTTGGTATTCAGAGAACACGTGTGAAACATGTGTCCACTGATTGTTTATGGTGGTATCATAAAGCAATAACAGTCATGAAAGCTTACCTATGGTAGAGAGCTATACAGTTCAGTCAGCCCTGATCTGTCAAGACATGGGACGACCTTGCAGTGCAGTTATAGAGGTTGACTGACCACAGTTATGTCTAAACTACTGACCCCTATGAAAATAACACGAGCGACCGAGAACACAGAGAGGGGGGAGGGACTTGCTACGATAGTCTGTTACATTCAGAAGTACACTATTCTGTAAGTATCTTCACTTCGTGTGCAGCACCTTTTTGACAAACTATGTGTTTACTAACAAGCACTGGCTGTTTGGAGCAACATGAAGCCGGAGTTGGTGAGAAAGCTGTTCAAAATGGCTGAAAGGAGAGGGTGTTTTCACAATAAAAGCGTGGAACTCGTCGAGTTTATGTTATTTACAATTTTTATTTATGAAACACACACGCGCCATTTTTTGTTTTAAACTTTTAAAAAGTTTTTTTTAATCAACAGAATTTAACGTTATATGACATCGACATCACTGTAACTTTCATGCACACACTTTTGTGACAATAAATAGTTTACTGCTAAAGTAATTGCACCCTTAAAAAAGTAAACATTCGCTAAGTACCAAAGTAGAAAATATGATAACAATATAATAATAATGATAATAATAATAATAATTATATAGTAAATATATTGTAAACGTTTTTTTTTTTTTTTTTTTAAAGCAGCATATTATAAAAAAAAAATCATATAAATGTAGATGTTTTATGCTGACATTTTTGTGGGGCCTTTGATGAGTGATTATAAAATTGCAGATGTTTCACGAGGTAAGTGCCAATAACACTGTTGCCAACTAATTTTCAGGGGAAGTTGCTAAAGGAAGGTCGATTTGTTGCTAAAAGTTGCTAAATTAAGTTGTGACGTCATTGCGTGATGACGTCATTACGTAATCACGACGCAAAATTGTGTCGCTACATCAAATCTCAGTAAAAATATATTTTTATATGTTAATTTAGATTTGTTTGTAAAATAATATAAATGCATAATATAATGTTAAAATATAAATAACTTTTTATATACAACATTGAATTATTGAACACTATTGAACATTTCTGAAAGATTACGTTTTTTTTTTTTAGCTAGTAAACTAGTAAAACTACTAATTCTGAACAATTAGTTTTAAGCAGTGTATTAGTAGTCAGTATGCTACACTCTACGAAAAGAATTCACAGGTTTTTACCTGCATTTTAAATTACTCGTTGTATTTTGTGTTTGGGGTTAAAGGGTTACAACGGATAATGGATACTGAATAACGAATAATGTCCTGGAAAATTACTAAAGCCTACCTTTTCCATTTTTCTAGATATTTTTCTTACAGTGTACTAACTGATCAACAATCACAGGTACAACAAGGTGTATCATAAATGAACAATTATTAAATTATTATTATTATTATTATAAAATTGAACAATTGCAAATAGCAATAATTTAAATCACGTGATGTGTACTGCTAGGCATATTTGGTTTCCTCTTTTTGTGAAATTTAGATGGAAAATGTGTGCCTTTTTATTGTTTATTATTATTATTATTATTATTATTATTATTATTATTATTATTATTATTGTTTTATTGTTGAGTCCCTTATCAAAAGTTGCTAAAAGTAGCAAAAATAAAATTTAAAAAATAGCTACATTTGTTGCTAGGTGCTTTTGGAAGAAAAGGTTGCTGGGGTAGTCTGAAAAGTTGCTAAATTTAGCTACAAAATCGCTAAATTGGCAACACTGGCCAATAAGGTTGTAGCATACTTCACCACTGAGATGAATGGGATTTTTTTTTTTTTTACATTTTATTTATTTATTTTGTTATAACTATTTTGATGGTTACTATACACATTTTTGTAAACTGTAAGGTCAACCCTTGTGAAAAAGAAGTAGGCTACACTTCAGCATATTTCTTACGAAATAAGTGTGGGCCTAACGTTACTTATTATGGACATAATAAATAATATAGCTACTATAAAAGAATAACAAGTTTTTATTAATAAATAATTTATAAAAAATAATAAAACATAATGATGTAAAATGTACTTTAAAGTAAAAAAATCTGACATTATTACAAAATGCACTTTTTAAAGATGTATTTTAGGGCTGCCCGGATTTTTCCGGTCGACTAGTAGTCGTTAATTTTAAGCATTGGTCGACTAATCGCACGTTCATTATAATAACCCATTTAAATCGTTATAATGAGCCTTTAATTGCCTACAAAGCCTAATAAGCGCTCAAACACACGCATAAAGCTTGCCACAGCGCACCGGCAGAAGCTATGATTATGAATGTGTCAGGGAAAAACAGTAAGGAGGCTGCATTAACATTTTAATAATTCACTGATAAATAGGTGCTTTCTTTGTTTTGGTTTAAGAGATGACACTGACTCGCCATCTCCGCAGTAGTGGATGCGCCTGAATGCATGTTTCATACGGATTACATAATCTGGATTGAGCGGCCATGTAAAGTTGCTAATACTTACATATTTCAGATGATAAGCCATATTTGTGGTGGATGATTGATAGGCGAGCGTTTGGATCTCCTGCTGTATTACCATAGATCAGCCGTGACTTTGCCAATGTGGATTTTTTTTTTCTTCTACTAAGCGACTAATACAATTTTGGCCAAATTTTCGACCTCTTCTGGTTAGTCGACTATTAGCCCTAATGTATTTAAACAGTGATGAAAGTACACTTAAGGGACCTTTTATTTCATTTCATTTCATTTTTTAATATATAAGCTACTAAAAGATTTCTTCACTTCTTTTACAAGGAAAAACAGTAATTTTCACACCGTTTTGAGCACATTCTTTAAATACTTAGTTTCATATATTTTTGGTGAGTAAACATATTCGAAATGAGTGTAAACAGGTGTGTAATCAGTGCAAACTAATTTGCTTTCTGTGCGAGTCTCCGTAGGAGCCGCTGTGTGTAAACACGAATCTGTCCGGCTGCAGAAGCTGAAGCAGTCTGCGCAGAACCGCTCTCCGGAGGAGGATGTAAACCCACGGATCCAGAATCTGGTTCCAGCTCGCCAAACGCAGAGCCAAGAGAAGCAGCTTCTCACACTGACGCCTCGGCCTTCTGATTCCTTCATAAAACCTGCTAACGGATATGAGGATGTAAATCTGTGAAATGAAGAGGAAAACGGTCAACAGTCTAGAAAATCACAAATGAAGTGACACATAGGCCTAAGTGTTCAGCAAATGCACAACGCCTCACAATGTGAAAATTGATAGTAGTAGGCCTAGTAGGCTATATTTTTTAACGGCAAAAGACTATAACAAACCTGTCAATTGGTTAATGGTATTCCCGTATTCGGTGTCGTTTGCTTTTATGTTAGCTGTACGAAATAGCTCGTTATGCTGCTTGATACTTCAGACTGGTATTTTTTCAATCATATTATTTTAATAGTGCTGTCAAACGATTAATCACGATAATTCGCATCTAAAATAAAAGTTTTTGTGAACATAATATGTGTGTGTATTTATTATGTATATATACACACTCATACAGTATATAATTTGAAAATATTTACATGTATATATTTATTTTTATATTATATAGGCTATAATTTAATATAAAAATATAAAATTTTTCTTAAATATATGCGTGCATATATGTGTGTGTATTTATATATAACTGGACATTTCACGTAATTTTACACTAAAATACTGTTAAATTTACAGTGTTTGTCCACATGAAAAAATACTATAGTAATTTATAGTAAATACCATAGTGTTTTTGAACCATACTATAGTAAAGTACTTGAATTAATTTAATTTGTTGTGGTAATTCTATAGTTGGGGTGGTAAAATAACAACTATATTATAAACTGTAGTTCTACAACATTGGTGTATTATACTACAATACACTACAGTTTACAGTAAAAACTAAAGTATACTACAGTATTTATTACAGTTCACTATAGTAAATACTACAGTATGCTGTAGCATTCATTTACAAAGTGTTGTAAATACTATAATATATACAGTATAATACACTTTAGTATGGTTCAAAAACACTATAGTATTTACTATAAATTACTATAGTATTTTTTCATGTGGGAAAGGCAAAAGAACAAGTAATATAGTATAATTTAGAGTGAAACAACCTAAATTGACATTAACCGAATTCCCTCTCTGACACTTAACATTTGATATTTTTTCATTAAAATAACTGTTTCTTCTTAGTTTTTCTCTCTCTCATCAATTAGGTACATTAGGGCTTATATTACATCTTAAATCAATGTTGGTTGCATTGTTTTACTTTTGTGTGTTGCCATGATTACTTTTTAAAAGCATGGCAGCTGGTTTGAGCTGGTCCTTAGTTGGCCATGAGCTGGTTATAAGCTGGTTATGAGCTGGTTTAAGCTGGTCCTAAGCAACTAGCTCCTGCTCAGCACCAGCTTATAACCAGCTCATGGCCAACTAAGGACCAGCTCAAACCAGCTCCCATGCATCAAAACGTACCTAACCAGCATCTGCTGTTTTTTTTTTTCAACAGGGCTGTGTTTTGTCAGTCAACATAATGTCAATTAATTAATTTTTTTTTTTTTTTTTTGTAAATGTAAGTTAAATATGTAAAAAATACCATATATTTTATGGTAAAGTTCTAGCAACCACAGCTGGCATTTTTAACGTAAATTTCACAGATTCTATTTTATTTTTGACAGTGCACTTACAAGAAAAGGACTCCAACAGACACAGGAGACCACTGTTATCGCGGCCAACTGCGTCATCATCTCCACATCCAGGGAGTGCAGAGATGAAGATGGGAAGGATCCATGTCTCCGAGCGATGCTTGACTTAACACATCGGTCCTTAAACCTTGCCTGGAGCAACTTCAGTCCACTTATAGTATTGGACACAACTGAGATGGTCAATGTTACAAGCCCCAGTGTGGAAAAAGCCAGAGCGAGGTTGGCATCAGTGATGGAGAGCAGACTGTTAACAGGTAAGAAACACCAAGTGCCAGGGAACTGTGGTTTGTAATTGCCTACGTTTAGCAGAGGGAGTCCTGCCAAAACGAGGGCCGTGAAGGTGATCAGCAGCACGGTGAGGCGGACGCGTGTCATGGTGACTATCGTTGGGTGCAGGAGAGGTTGTGTTATGCCTATGCAGCGCTCCACCGCCATCGCACTGCCTAGCAGCAGAGGGCAAAGGCCAAAAAACACCATGCAACCGCCAAATAATTTGCAGTAAACCTGTGGGGGCTCCACTATTACTGCCACCCCGTGATGTTTCACCCTCCCAAGATGGAGGTGAAGCGCCAAAGCCCCTGTGATCACATGACCAGCCAGGTCGCTTACAAGCAGGGCTGAAGCCAGCAGTAGAAACGGTGCTTTGGCTCGTCGGCGTAAGCGGGCGTAGGAATGGGCTAGGATTGCTAGTGCGGTTAGATTAGAGAGTGCGCCAAGGGTCATGGTGAAGTAGGACATCCCAAATGCTGGAGGGTTAAGCAGAGCTGGAGACGTGGAGTTTACAGTTTGGTTGTCAGGACAGACGGTTGTGAGATTATAGTCTCTAGAGTTCTGGCATGAAACAGGGAAGGAAGAGGTGAAAAGATTATCCATGCTGTGACAGTCAAGGAAATCCTTATATGTGAGTGTGGTCACAGGAAGCTGCGATGAACGTTTCTCTTCAGGGATGCTCCTGCTGGGAGGGTTTTTGCAACTGTGGTCAGCAAGAAGGGTTTCATCTACTATTGCTGCAAGTAGAATCATTCAAAGAGAGCAATTCAGACTCTGTATTTACTGCTGAAGTCTACATTAAAATTCATACTGGAAGAAAACACTGGCACCTTTACATAGCAAAATTTATGCTGGCTCATGTGTCCAAATATTTGTCCAAATTGTTTCTGACAGGAAGACACAACAGAGTAAGCTTGGCATAAGAACTGAATAATTTCAATACAAATGCGGCATGAAAAATAGTTGGAAATCAGTTATATTCACCTCATTGAAGGATGGATTTATACAGTGTTATTTTAGTATATAATAAATAATATATTTTTATTAATATGCTGATTTAGATTTTATTTTTATATTTACTGTTTTTATATTTATAATTTTCGTTTTTGGTTTGAGTTCTTTTTTTTTTTTTTTAAATAAAATAATTCAAGTTTGTATATTTTATTGGTGTTAATGTTTATTTTATTTTATGTTTGTGCTGTTGATTATTCATCCAGTGATTTGTGGGAGGATGCATTGCCTTCATTCTCTCTTCTGAGACCCCCCCTCCGCCCCGCTACAAATGTTCTATTATGGCAAGTTGATAAGGACTGAATTATAGGTAAATAAATACAAATAAACTAATAAACAAATAAACAAACAAAATAAAAATACGTGCATTTTGCTGGTTACAATTACAGGCAAAGTGTTGTTTATTTTTATGGATTTAAGGCCATTTGCCAGAAGGGAAAGTAGCCCTTGTTTATCTCCTCCTTGTTCCCCCTCTGCTGTGCCAAAAATCCTTTCATTATCCTCCTTTCTCTCCAGGACTTCTCTCACCCTCTGCTGTCTTAATTCACGCTGTTGTCGTGTTCTCTGCCCTGAATCTGTTTGCTAACATTAGGTTTGTTCTGCGAGGCACAAGCTTGTGTTCACAGTGGTTTTCACCTTTATTGCTAGTGTTGAACTAATAATAACAAAATATAAAGTGAAAATTGTTTTATCTCAAGGGCCAATTTCTAGCTGTTCTGACCCATAAAGTTGACTTCCGTGATATAATATATTTTAAAATGACCAAATCAGCCTGACTACTTTTTGATTTATAACCAGCTTTATAGCAGATAATTTTACCAAAAGCAGTTTACAAATGGAAACCATACAAGCAGAAGCATTTAAAAACATAGTAGAATAATTCAAAGAGAGCAGTTCAGACTATATATTCACAAACGCAATAAACATAATAAACCTTGATTTGACTATTTCTAATTACACACTGGATGTATATATAATTTAGGGCGAGCGGACGTTCTCATTCTAGAGCATTTTTGGACAAAAATCTATTTCCTGGCAAAGAAAGACTGTAAACTGTAAATGTTTATCTGCTAAATGTTAAGTTTGTTAACTTTTAGGATTACATTTAGCAGCTAACAGACATGAACAAAAAGCTCCAACTGATTTCACTGATCTTAAAAACATTGGGAGTAAGGTACAATCCAATTTGTCCATTGTTATGCAAATTTTTGCAGGTGAAATCCAGTGGCTTCAATAGGAATCCACACATTGGGATTTCTATATGCAGATTTCGCAGCTGCTTCATGTTTTTCATGTATTTGTATCTGCTTGGCTTATAAGTGACTTCCGTGTGAGCTGTGCTTACACTTTTGAAAAAACATTTAATTGGACCTTTATTGCCCACAGTAATTTGGTAAAATTTTGCCAATGTACCTACAACTTTAATGTGACAAAATGACTGTGTCACAGTATTCCCCTTACTCTGAAAATGCTGTGCACATTTACCCAACATCTACTGACAGGTTCTCCATCAGAAACCCAGAAATGATGTTTTCTTCTTTCAGACAGACAGATGGGATACTCTAAGGGTTTTTCACACTCAGAAAATGGACTTGGGAGAGTTGAGAGGGCAGACTCTGTCTGTCTCTCACTCTTTCTTTTTTTAACACTATAATGACATGCTGCTCCACAATGCACTGAAATGAAACTGCTGTGAGGCTGTAATGGAGTAATCAATGCACCCGTTCTAACTTGGCAAATTGTCATTTTTCTTACTGTCCCCTGCACTTTGTTCTCCCTCTGTGCAATCATACATTTCATTTTTAAATCTTTTGCTCCTTTTAAATCTATTGCTCCTTTTAAATCTTCATTCTCCTTTTCTTGGACAGCATTGAGCCGATCGCAGTGATGTCAGTGAGGGATGATTGATATCAGATGACCAACAAAGAGCAGCAATTTTCTTTTTGAGAAAGCGTGAGGACTGTGTTAAAGAGCTCCAGCAGGAAGCCAGTATGACCATATCAGGTCACGCAGAGCCTGTCTGACTGAGAGGAATTTCAAGAACATTTTGCTCATTTAAAATAGCTATGGTCTAGTTTTGTTTTGGAAACGGTACATTGCCACTGCATTTTAAAGTTTTAAACCCATTGCATTTTGAGCTGACCTCAGTATGTTTTGGCATTGCTTTCTCAATTTTATTCGGCTATCTTTTGGCTACTCAACACTGGACGAGCCATATTTTTTTACCTGAAATTTTTCTTATATTGTTAGTAATAAATTAGAATTAAATCCTTTATACTTTGATTTACACTATAATAAGATATCTGGATGATCGCTGTGTTCAATCCCATCAGATTTTTATATTCCCAATTATGAGATGAAAAGAAATCAACTTTAAGTCCAATCAAATGGTCATAATGTATCATACGTAAAAAAATTGTATTCGGCTTTAGATGTTTGTATTCAAAAACCTCACCAAAAATGCTCTGTCATATGAAATGAAGTGCTAAAACAATGAAGAGATGTCTGTTTGACTCACCCAGCGTCCCTGTGTCTGTTTCTCCTGTGTATCAGCAGCGGCAGCACTTCTCCCATGTGCTCCAGGCAGCTCTACCCCTTATCACTCTACAGCCGCTGAGCAATACAGCCCCCTCTCTCTCTCTCCCACACCCTCATCCCTCGTTTTCTATCTCTCCTTTCTCCATCTTCTTCATCCTTGAAAATCTTCCAACCTTTTTTTAAAGGAACACATTCCTCAAGCATTTCATCGCTGAGGTTGCATTTATAGTAACTTTGAGTCACAGTTTAACTGTCAGGTATCGAATGTGTAAGAATCATTATGGTGTACATTATATATTTTTGAACAAATTTAATATATAAACACCTGCTGTCAATCACTGAGCTGCAATCCAATTTTATTCCTGAGAGAACAAGATGTTAAAAGTCTTTGTCCACAGCATGGAGAACCTGTGGATTTGAATTGCCTATTGTCAGGAATATGGACTGTCTGTGTGTGTTTTGCTCCCCATGTGCTCCCAGTTACCCAGTTTCTCCCGTGTCTTATTGTGTTCATTTGATTCACCTGTGTTCCCCTGATTATCCTCGTTTAGTTCCTGTTACTTAAGCCCTGTGTTTTCCTGTGTCTAGCGTCTAGTGTTAAATGTCTATCCCCTGTGCTACGTGAATGTTCCTATGGATTATTAAAGTCTGTGGATGGTACTCTCCTGCCTTCTCCTCGTTCGTTTCCTCTCCGTAGGCAGTTGTGACAGAATAGTTTATCAGCGTGTTTTCCCTCGTTTTTCCGTTTTTCTGACGGATCGTCAGACCAGGTGCGAGAGCCGGCTACAACACCCGCCACGAGGTAGAAAGCCGTGGACAGAGAGAGCGCGGAGAGGAGCTCCGCCCCCTGCACCGTGGCTGAGGGTGAGCTGAGAATGGATCTGGGTGAATGGAGAGCGGAAGAAGACCTTATTGACTTGTATACCGACCTGCCCCCTCTCCTCCCTCCTCCGTCAGTGACCTCTGTCCCTCCCATTCCTGAGTTTAGCCCTGTTCCCCCGTCCAGCCCAGAGAGGGCTCCTGTTTCCACGTCCAGCCCAGTGAGGGCTCCAGTTCCTGAGTTTAGCCCAGAGAGGGCTCCTGTTTCCCTGTCCATCCTAGAGAGTGCTCACAAATGCCTGCCCGCCCGCCTGCTCCTGCCTCCTCCACCGCTGTTGTCTGGCAGCCCCTCTGCTCGCCCTCAGCCCACCATCTGTATGGTGCGAGCTCCGTGGGTCTGCCAGTCTCCATCGTCACCATGGTGGAAGAATCCCTGGCCTCCGCTTCCAGCCTCTGAATCCCAAGCTCCGCCTCGGCCTGTCGACCCAGCAGCTCCACCATGGCTCCTAGCTCCCTCTTCTCCGCCATGGCCCATCAGTCCACTGGCTCCACCGGGCTCCCTCGTCCCTCCGGCTCCGCCTTGGTCTGTCGTCGACCATCCGTTGCCTCGGGACTCCACTCCTCCGGCTGCGACTCATCCCTCCGTCCGTCAGGCTCCTCCTTCCCTTCGGCTGCTCCTCGGTCCTCTGTCGCTCCGTCTCCACTGCGGCCTTCTGGATCCACGCCTCCGCATCGGTCGCCTGAGCCATCTGTTCCGCCTTGGCCCTCCGGACCCTCCCCGTCGCCCTGGCTCATCGGCTCTCCGTCTCCACCTTGGGCTCCTCTGCCACCGTTGGTCGGCCCCCTGGAGTCGTCAGCCCTTCCTCCACCAGGGCTCCTCCCTCCGTCGGCTCCACCGTGGTTCGCCATTATGGCTGTGGCCTGGGTCCCACCTGGCACCGCCTGCTCCAAACCCCTCCTGTCTCTGTCTGGTCCGCCCTGGCTCCTCCTGTTTCCTCCTTGGCTCCTCCCTCCTTCGTCACCTCGCAGGTGTCCATCCGCCTCCTGAGCCTCCTCCCAAGTTCCCACCTGTCCCTGTTGTTTCTACGGCTCGAGGACGCGCCTTCCCGGGGGGGGGGGGGGGG